CTAGAATGTATTTGTAGTTGTTGAGTAAGGACTTGATGTTGCTGACGACGGTGTTGATGGCTTGGGGGGCAGAACGTTGGGGTCTGAAACCATATTGGTGGTTGCTGAGGTAATTGCCCTTTTCAACATGCCAGATGAGCCTGTTATTAATTAGTTTTTCCAAGACCTTTCCCATAACTGGTAAAAGAGAAATTGGGCGGTAGTCATCAGGGTTGCCTGGTTTAGGAATGGGTATAATATTGGCAATTTTCCAGGCTTTGGGGAAAATACCATGCTCTAGACAGCTATTGAAAATCTGTAGTAGGGCATCGGGAATGAGTCTCCAAATTTGCTTGGCAATATCTGTTGTGATATAGTTCACACCAGGGGCTTTACCTCGTTTGAGAGTGTTGAATATGTGATCTATTTCCTCATAAATGAATGGCGGCATGTCTGCAGTATTTATATTATCATGGGTGTTGTTTCTAATATTACTATGGAAGTTGTTGTCCAGTTCAGGTGGGTCTCTAAAGCAGAAGTTATCCATTTGGGCCTGAAGTGTCTCCTCCAGGTTTTTAGTATATGTATCATTAATATTAGTCGTAGAAATAATGTGACTGTGTCGTAGCTTGTTGGTACATAATAACTGAACTTCCTATCAAATACTGGAGGTAATATACTTCCTTCTACCTGTATAAAAACCTTCCAAATCTCCAGTGATACTCGTTTAAGCAAACGTTTTCGACCCTACCAGGGTCTTCATCAGGCCACCGTTACAAAAATTCAAACAGTGCGAAATCGAACAGGAACATAATTAGGTGTAATATGGTTTTATTGCAAGCGCATGTTGCTCGTGCTTTGACGACATCGCTACAAGAGCGTGGTGTTCTATTTTTGATATTAACGTTGACGTTCAAAGATTTGAATCGCATTTATTTGGTTCCTGTTCGATTTCACACTGTTTGAATTTTTGTAACGGTGGCCTGATGAAGACCCTGGTAGGGTCGAAAACATTTGCTTAAATGAGTATCACTGGAGATTTGGAAGGTTTTTATACAGGTAGAAGGAAGATATTAACTCCAGTATTTGATAGGAAGTTCAGTTGGATATAAACATTTTATATTATGTTTGTTTTCTGAATTTCAAATACTTGGTGTCACTTTTATTTTGCTTTGCTGTTGCTTTGTTAATTTTGTTTTGGGCAATTAGACAGCCTGTTAATTATTTTGATAATTAAGCAAAAATAAATTATTTATTTAATATGTTGAGGTAAAATTGATAACATACATTCAAATAATAATTTTAAAAATTTGACAGATTTGTTTAAATAAATTCTGTTCAAAGATATGAATATAAAGATGGCCTATGAATATCTGAAGAAGTTGAATTGTTCATTAAATATGCTACTACACAATTTTAGAAATGTTTCTTACTGAATTACAACAGTGAGCATGACTGCACTTGCACTGTCATGTTATGTTTCATGTTACAAACAGTGAGTTATAGTCCTATTCCAAAGGGCTTTCTGCTGTGAAAAAGAATTATTGTTTCTTGATAATTGGCTATTCTATCCAATTATTTTTAACTAGATTTGTCACAATGGTTAGACACAGAAGACCACTTTTACTCCTTATAATATCCTTTATTGAAATCAAATTTACAATTGTTATTTTGACATTTGGTAACCTTACAATAAATTCTAAAAGCATTTCAATTTCAATAAAGGATATTATAAGGTGTAAAAGTGGTCTTCTGTGTCTAACCATTGTGACAAATCTAGTTAAAAATAATTGGATAGAATAGCCAATTTCCAAAAAACAATAATGGATTCTACTAGATACGAAGCAAACAATAATAACTGTGAAAAATAAGTTATGGATTTTGGAATATTTTGATTTTAGAATTTTAGATTTGGGATATTCAGCCTGTATATTTATTTATAAATTATGTTATTTTATTGAATAATCTAATTAAAAAGAAATTAATTATAAATGATTAAATAAATAACATAATGAAAATGTTTTGTAGGAATTTGTGAATTCTAAATTTTTGAAAAAACATTGGAAAACAAGTATTGTTTTGGATGAAGAAAATTTTACACATTTTGTGAGGATTATCAAAGTGAGTTAATAAAGTTTATAAATAAATATAAAATAATTAATTACACATGCATATTTATTTTTTCTTTTTATTTTAAGGATTCCACCTTGGTACATCCAACTATTCATCCAGTATGTAATGTTATAATTGAAAATGCATTAAAATTAAGTAATTTTACTGAATTTTGGAAGCTAATCGATGGTGAGTTGAATAATTTTTAATTATAATTTTTATTCAACTGCTTGTTTATACTTTTAATTTAGTTTAGACTCACCAAATTCTAATTCATTTTATTAATTTCATTATAAGTTTATTTATTTAATTAAAATTATCAATCAATCAATCAAATATATTTATTCATAATAAGGAGTCCTTGTTACAGGGGGGTAATGATTTAGATATAAACAATACAAATAATAAGTAAATATAAATTAGTTATTTATATAAAAATAATTAATTAAACACAATTTATTTCTTATGTTGATTATTCAAATCATTAATAATTTGGTTAAAGAAATTAACAATTTTATACATATCTATTTTCGTTAAATTGCCCAGTTTAATTCTATAATCAAATTCGTTATTTGTAGAAAATATTCTCAGTGTCTGAAATCTTTGATGATATTTTTTCAACGCAGTACAGTCTCTAATTATATGAAATGCAGAAAAGTTGTTGGAATCACACCAATAACATGATTTAGTAAAATCTATATAATTATTATTCACAATTAAGGAGAATCGATTTAGTCTCAGTTGTAGTAATAAACGTTTAATATTTAAATTTGTATTCATTGTAATAATGTTCGATTGAGTGGGAAAACTTAGGATATGCAAATACCAGGGATGATATGTTGAATTGAGTAGAGAATTTTGATCACTAATCATCGATTGTGAAATCGCTGAATCCATCATCATAGTGTAAGCATTATTCCAATTGTCAATTGAGTTGTCAAGTAAGATAGTAGATACACCAAATGACTGTAATATTTTATTAAATTTATAGAGCCAAGTTGTATTATTGGTATTATCGTTTCCCATTTTATTTTTCATTATATGAAGTAAAAACGTAATATTATCATCTTTAGAATGTATTAAACGATAGTAAAATCTTATTAATCTTTTCATAAAGAATGGAAAAATTTGACATCTGTTTGTTTCTGAGCGAATAGCATAACCAGGTATAGTACGTTCGAGTTTAAATATTTTGCGTAAATAGATAATATGGAATTTTTCCAGGTTATAAAACAAATCAATGGCCCAAATCGGACTAGCATATAGAATAGTTGACATTATTATTGAGTTAAACATTCTCATATGAAGATTTAAGTTTGAGATTTTTAAACTAGCTCCTAAATAGAGAGTATTATTTATTAATTGATTTATTTTATTATTAAGATATTTCATATGTGTTTGGAATTTACCATTCCAGTTGAACATTATACCCAAATATTTTATGTTATTGACCAATTCCAACGGTTGATTATTTATATAAAATGATTTCTCTTGATTTGCCAGTTTAATATTGTTTCTGAATATTATTATTTTTGATTTATCAGTATTGATCGTTAAATAAATAGATTTCAGATAGTCGTTCACTTTATTAATCTTATGCTGTAGAGTAACTTTTGTTGGGGCCAATAAAACCAAATCATCTGCGTATAGAATGTAGTGAAATGTTCTTCCATATATATTAATGCCTTCTGAATCATATAAGAATAGCTTATCTATTTCATTAATATAAAAATTAAATAGATAGGGAGACAATGGCTCACCTTGTAAAATTCCTCGATTTATTATAATTTCAGGATATCTCTGTTTTCCGTATACTATATTGATTTTGTAAGAGGAAAAAAGTTCCATAATTGTAGTTGTAAATTTGGTACCTGCACCAAATACTTTTAATTTGTTAACCAAAGAGGGTACGTGAATAGAGTCAAATGCTTTAGTAATGTCAATGAATGCAGCATAAATTTTTCTTCGTTTTTTCTTTAAGTATATTTGAATTAGTGAGTTTAATAAGAATATGGCCGATTCAGTTCCTTTGGATTTTATAAAAGCAAACTGTAAATTCGAAATTAGTTTTTGATTTGTCGTCCATTTTTGAAATCGTAATGCCAATATTGATGTGAAACATTTCCTTAAAGTTGATAGAAGAGCGATAGGACGATAGTTTTCTGGTGATAATCTATTTCCTTTTTTATGGATCATAAGTAGTTTTACAGTATTCCAAGATGACGGATATATTAATTGTTCGTAAAAATAATTATATATTTCAAGTAGTACATGTTTTCCTGATGGAGGTAAAAGTTTGATGAATTTATTAGTAATTAAATCTGGACCTGGCGATGATTTTATTTTTAGTTTTCCAATGGAGTATTCCAATTCATCATAGGTAAGAGGTGCATCAAAAAAGTCATTCGTTACGGTTGTTTGATGATTATTTGGTGAGTTTTCAATAACCGGAAATCTATTAAAATAACTAGACCATATTGAAATATCTATATCCGGTTGACATTCTAGACAAGATTTTCGTAATTTCTGAATTGATGACCAAAAAAGTTGATTATTTTTGTTTGCTATCATTTGTTGTTGAAGTTTTTTAAAGTAGTTTAATTTTTTTACTTTCAGTAAGTTGAAATAAGAAGTTTTTAACTGTTTATAACGGTTGAAAGAAATATCTGAGTAACAGTTTCTGAATTGTTTTAGAGCTTTATTCTTCTGTACTTTAAGTTTGTAACAATTTAAATCAAACCATGGCTTTTTAAATTTATACGTTATATTATACTTTGAGTTATATATTTGTATAAATTCTTTTAATATTAGTTCAAAACGAGAATATTTGTCCATTCCTTCCGTTGGAAGATAGTTCGTTAGTTGTCCAATTCTATTACTAATCATTAGTTGATATTGTTGGTAGTTATATTTGATTATTTGATGTGATTTTGATTCAGATTTATATAGTTGATTATTTGCTATTAGAATAGACATTTTTATAGGAAAATGGTCGGAGAGATCATAGTTTAATACTTGAATACATTTGCATAAGTCTGTAATTAATTCTGAACATATTATTAGATCAATTGTAGAACAGCCAGAATTAGTAAGACAAGTAAATTCCGCCGGGTAATCATTTTTTATTCTACCATTCAGTATATATAATTGTAACTGATTAATATATTCTAATAATTGAAGACCTATTTTGTTATATTTTTTATCTTTGGATTTACGATTATTTTGAATTTCTGAATTTGGTCCTTTATATTTCACATCCATTAATTGGGCAATTCTCGCATTCAAATCTCCTAATATAATAATATATGGGGTAATAATTTTCCATTGTTCGATGTGTTTATAAATATCATTTAAGATTTGCGGTTGATCTGGAGGGACATAAACCAGTATAATGCCTACTAGTCTGTTTAGCAAAAATTGCATATGTGGGTTGGTAATTTGGATTATAATCGATATACTGTTATCATTTTTGTGTATATTCTTAATTATGCCTATATTTTTCTTGATAAATATACTTAATCCACCATATGGACGACCGGGCCCAACTGGCCTATGTGCCATAGTTGATAACACAGTATATTCCACATATTTATCTTTAAACTTTTTATCTGGAGAAGTTAACCAAGTTTCTGTAAGACCAATTATATCATTATTATTTAATAACTGTTTAAACTCAATGTTATCAATTTTTTTCGATAAACCATTACAATTCCAGTTTATTATATTTAAATAAGAATTTTCTTGATTTTTATTATTATCAATTTCATTATTGATTATTTTAGGAGAGTGGCAATTATCGGACTTATTTAAGTCGTATATTCTAAAAAATCCTCTGCATTTACTAGTTGATTTATTAAGAAACTATAAGTTATTCTTTTCTGGTTAATTATAAGGAAATCGTCTCGTAATTTGACCTGAATATTTCGTTTTTTTAATTCGATATAGTAAGGTAATAAAGCTTTTCTTCTTTTCCGAGAATTAATAACCAGATCTACTGACATGTTTAAGTTTTGCCATGGTCCCAATGAATTGTTTTGTTTACGCTTATTAAAGGTGATCAGTATCTCATTTCTCAGTTGATCAGATTTTAAAATTAAACATTTAATATTAATCTTGGAATTAGGAATATTACGGATTAATTTGATTTCTTCATTCATTTTGCATGGAATATTGAGTGAATTATTTAAAAACCTTAATATTTCTTCTTCACTTCTATCATTGAAAATTTTTGAGTAATCATATATTATTAGATTATTATTATTTAATTTGTTTTGCATGGAGTCAAATTTAAATTGTAGAAGTTCATTCTGAGTTTTTAATTTTTTAAGTTCCGATTCGATTATATCGTTTCTATCTTTAATAGTTTGAATTTGTCCAGTAAAGTCACTGATTTCATTATGAATGGTGGTAATTTCTTTGTGAATTAAAGCAAATTGACTTTCTATTTTTTCATTACTAGTCGTTATCAGATCAACTATCTTCGTCCATAGAAGTGAGGTTGAAGTGTCCGATATTTCCATATTTGAAATTGCGGTTGAAGGATTCAAAGTAGAATTTTCACTAACCTGGATAGTTGGTTCTGCTCTTCTTTGTTGAGTATATTCGGTAATTAAGTTGATTTCACCTTCAGCTGGTTTAGTGTTGAATGACGATTGCGTTGTTCGGTTTGTTGGAGGTCTTCCTCTTTTGGGTGGCGTTTTCTGAAGAGGGCCTGGATTCGGTTCAATTCCGGACATTAGTAGTAGTAATTGGGTTAATTTTAAATTAATCATTGTAGAAATAAACTCCAAAAAACACAAAAGACAAAATATTCCTCAGTAAAACGAAGTGTTAACAAAAACGCACCAATCTCCCTGACGAACGGAGCGGCCCCCTTTAATTAAAATTATTAAATGATTGTTTTTCATTTTATAAACATTTTAAAAAATTATTTCTTTTAAAAAATCTTCAAAAGAAATTAAAATAAGAAAATTAAATGTTTAATTATTATTTAACAAATTAGAATTATTTATTGTTATTGTATAACTGAAGTATTAATATAATATTACAGAAACTTTATTTGTTCCTGGTCAGCATGTTAAAATATATCTTGGTTTCCAGTTAATTAAAATAATTCTTCCTCAGTTAAAAAAAGTATCTTTAGTAAGTATTTTGCTATTTATAATTATATTTTAATAATGAATTAAGAAAATATTTTAATATTAATAAAAATATCTTATTCTATTATAATTTATGTAAATGAAGCAACAAAAAGAATTTGCTTTTACAGACACATAAGTAAAATCTGATTATATTTATTCTTCATGATGATCAAATCCATTTTACAAAGGTGAAGTTCATTAGTGCTAAACTGAGTTTTTAAGGAGTTCAATAGATAATTTGTTATTTCAGAATTAAATACTGCTCAGGATGCTATCTAGCATCATCAGAGTCCACCATTACAGATTGGAATAAGAACTCTAGAACAGCTTCTGAAAAATCTAATTATATCATATTATATCTTCTAGTATTAAAATTGGATTTATAAATAAAATTAAGTCTAAATTTTTAAATATTTTCAGAAATAAAAATAATTTTAATACCTACTACTTATGGCATTTGCAGTTGCAAGTTCAAGTCCTCTGGAATGATTTTTTTCTTTCCAGAATGATGTATATTAATAAATTTAATCCAAAAATCATATAATTATTAAATTTAACACATGTTATTAGCACAAATTATTTAATATCTATAAAGTCAATTAGTCAAAATCTACTGTAGCTCAATAGTTAATCCAGCCTTATCATCTGATCATTAGAATAATTCAGATTTGGTTGTTTATATCAGGTTTCAAAACTGTGTACTATGGCACCCCTTGGTACCATGGCCAGAATGGTTGTTATATATATATTACACTAAGAAGATTTTTGTTAGCTAAATTAATACATTTTTCAGCAGATTTGGATAAATTAGTTGTTTGTAGATGGAGTGAGTGTAGATGTGCAAAAAGCTTTTTGTTTTCAGATCCAATGTAGGTTCTGGAGATATTGGGTTTTAAATTTCTGAAATTTTCTCATCACTTTGTGTAGGGAGTTGATAAGAAGCTTTTTACAACAAATCATGCAAGATTCACTGAGGATTCACTGAGGAATCACCTGTGTGTGTGTGTGTGTGTGTGTGTGTGTGTGTGTAGTTTACAAAACAATGTGTAGCCTGATAAAGAACACTGTCTAACTTGAAATTTCTGCATTTTATAAATGTTTACCAATCATTTTGTAGTAACTTTCATTTAACAAGTATTGTATCATCTACCATTATATTGTGTGATTTTTGATGGCTTAGGGATATCCATTGAGAGTCAAAGTATCCAGAACAACTAGGTTTCTTTTGGATTTTATCATCTTAAACATGGTAAACAAAGAAAGTTTTTAACTCCTTTTTGTATGTCGTGTTGGGAGTGAATATATTTCATGTAGTCTAGACTACAAGTAACTTTTGGCAAACATTAAATTCCAATTTTTTATTCTAAAATTAACTTTTTCTATTTAATCTCTTATCCTGTAGGTACCAAGGGTTGTCTTCTAGTTTTAATTATTAGTGTTGTGCTGACAGCATTTGTGCAGTGCATTTTTTGTAAGCCTGTCTAAATTATGTATCTGGAGATCCATTTGACTAAAACTTTTTAAATTAATACAAACCTTTTTCTTTCTTTTTATTTCTTTATTTTAAAATTAAGCTATTCTTTCCATGTTAATAGAAAAAAAGATAGAAACACTTTCTTACAGACAATTTTACTTCTGTTTTGTGGTTAATCTTACATGAATTAAATTTTTAGTTGATGTATGTGTGGTATATGAAAATAACTGTATGATATACATTTTATATAAATAATATAAATATAATATTTATTCTTTGCCTAATCTAAGGACTATCAGTTTTCTTTATTTGTTTATATTATTTCATTATAATATCAACATAACAATTACTCTTAAAGAGAGAGTGAGAGTACTATCTAGACTGGGTTTACTCTTTAAAAAAATAAATATTGATAAATATATATATATATACAGTGGTACCTCAGGATACGAAATTAATCCGTTCCGAAACTGAGATCGTATCATGAAAATGTCGTAAGGTGAATCATTTTTCTTCATACGATTACATGTAAAACCAAATAATTCGTTCCAACACGAAAAACACACTCAAATTAAAGCTAAGTAGTACATTAAAAAAAATAACTATAGTAAGGAAAACACTGAAAAATGCATTTTGTAGTTGTAAATGTATAAATAACCATAATAGAATAATAATTGATAAAAAAAAATGTAGTTTTATTTGCACTTTACCTTTGAGGATAGACGACGGTGGAGGTGTAAACTGGTGGCGGAAGAGAGGGAGAAGGGAAATGATACTAAAACTTAACTTACATAACATAATGTAACAATAACTTAAAAATAACTTAGAAAAGATAAAAAAAAATTAGTGTTTTATATATATATTTTTTTAAATTTTTATTCACTGCTTTTTGCTTTCTTTCCTTCACTTCCACCAGCACTTTCACTGGATAGAGGTCGCTTGGTAAAATATCTATCCAAAGAGGTTTGGCTTTGCCTACTTTTTAAAATGTTTCTAAAATGACTTAGGCAAATGTCATTACTCCGAGCAGCAATACGGCCAGTGTGAACCTTTTCGGGATGTTTCTTTTCAATAAAATCAGTCACTTTCTGAAAATACCTCAAGATTTCCTTTATCGAGCGAGATCCTTCCACAATGAAGCAAACACGCGGACTGAGACCAATGAACAGGAGTGAATAAAAAATGGCGCTGCGAACTAATGTAACATCGTATGGTGAGTTTTTGTTCGTATCGTGGAGCAAAAATATGTTCGAATTTCATGTCGTATCTTGAAAATTTCGTATGCTGGGGCGTTCGTATCCTGAGGTACCACTGTATATACAGTGGGTGATTGGTTAACAAACATAGTCCATTTCAAGACTTTGTTTGCTATCCGAATTGTTTGTTAACTGATTATCAATTTACCATAAGTTTTTTTATGGGAATTTAATTAATTCATTCTGGAGATCCCAAAAAATAAATAAAAATTATATACTTTCTTACTATGCTTATTTATATGTAATAGCAAAAATACATATATACACAGTCTTGCATTTTTATTAGTGATGTTTTTTCCGTTTGTGGGGATTAAAGAATCTGTCTAATGTCGATTGCTTTTCTCTTTTCTTCGGGATTTTTCAGAAGTAATTAATAGTATTGTAATTGTAGAGATCTCCAAGCCTATTAGCCTCATTCAGGTTTGGATGATTGTTGTTCTGACATCCTCCCACTTTGTCAAAAGATCTTTAATAGCAAATAATGGCATTGGTCCTTTTTCATCGTCATCTTTTTCAAAAGAAAACACATCTCACTGAGTTTCTTGGTATTCTTCATTTAAGAGTTCTTGGAGTTCTGTCACATCAGTTTCAGGTTCCATTATGAGCTCTTCAATGTTCTTTATTTCTCAGATGTGATTTTCATTACTCCTTTAGCTGCTTGAGACTTCTTGATATATCTTTCATAGCTAAGATTGTGCCTACTGTAGACCTGTTTAAGCCGTACTACCTAGCAATATCAGACATCTTGTGCCCACTCTCTACCTTGGCTATTATCTCTTGCTTGGTTTCTATAGTGAGCACAGTTCTTCACACACCACTCTTTTTAGGCTCCATAATAATATCAGTTTCTTTTTTAAATAAAAAGTTCAGAAAAGCAATTACAAAAATTCAGAGAACAGAAATCAACTATTGCACAAAAAATTATTTAAATGCAAGGCCTAGATGGAATTTGGTATTAAAATGTTAATGAATATTTGATGGGACAGTTAAACTCTCATCTTTCGTAAATAAAAACTGACACAAAACTTAATGAGTTTCCGCTCGACAGTCTCATGAAGACTATAAAAAATTATTTGTCAGAAAGGTAGACAAAAAGCTGGAATTACAAGGGAGAGTTTCAAAATTTTGAGGAATACTATCTGATCAGTATCAAGTTGAACGTCAATGTCAACATCTTCAGAGCTCCAAAAGGTTTCAAATTGTCACCTGGAGATAAGGGAAGACCAATTAGTATTCATTATTTTATGTTGCTTATTTTTCTGTTTGTTCTGTGAAGTGTTCAATACTGAACATAAAAATCTTTCGTGAAAGTGTTCATTATCTGATTTGTTCAGTGTCCAAACTGTTCGTTAACCAATCACCCACTGTATACAGATACAGTATATTGGGGAGCCATTGTTAAAAAGTAGCAGATTAAGGCAGCTGTGAGTCCAAAAGTTTGAGAACTACTAGTCTGTATGAATTTTGAAATTATCTATTTCAAATCATTTGTTATTTGGGATTTGGAACCTGAAGACAAAAATTACTGAAAATGTTTGTTCCATATAACAAATAATACATTTTAGTATAAATAGTCATTCAGTATAAAAGTGTTTTAAGTAGGAAAGAATGGAGTCTGATAAATTAATATAAACGTCATATTAAAAATTAATAATAAACATTTATGATACAATAGAATCTGCTCATTTTAATTATGGATATTGTTATTATTTGTTTAATATTATAGAAATTAGCATATCCAAAACATAAAATACATTTATAAAACTTTACTTGTTGTAATCAGTGTACTAGTTATAATTTTCATTATTTTCAGGTAAGTAGCATTTTCAAAATGCCTTTTCTTTCCATTAGTTTCTATATGTGGTCGTTAATGTGCAATTATTGTCTTAATCAGTACTTTAAACATTAAATATTAATTACTATAATCATTGTCAACAATACAATAGTTTAAATTGCTGAAATTCTTGCTTATATGCAAACTGTTAAAGATGATACTACAAAAAAATAGTAAATAAATAAAATAAAATAAATACATAGGCAAACAATACTATTAATTAACTAATAAACTTCTTAGGTATACATTTTAAATTGTTTTCAATGTCTTTTTTAATGCCTAAGTGATTGAAACCAGATTTTTTTCATCAGTTGTTGTCTTAAAATAGGATAGGAAAGAGCATATACCACAAATACAATAAAACTTACGTAATATGAAGAAAATGAAGCACTTTGTAGGTCTCAATAGCACAGGGATTTAATGTCTCCAGCTTGGAGAAAATTAAAGTTAAGGAAATTCAAGTCAAAGCTTTTCATTGTTCTCCAGTACTGATTTGTGTTACTTTCAACTTCCCTAAATTGAATTTAATATTTATTTTATTCAAAGTGATCCTAATTATCAGATTTCCATGAAATTTTCAGACAGTATTTGTATCTAATGTCCAACACCCATTTGCAGACAATGTTCCAGTGCAGTCTCATATCTCAATAAGATGTACCTGCAAAACTGTTTGATCCCATTAGTTACATTGAACATTTTGCTGAGAGACATTTACATGGGCTGTTTAAAATAAAAGAAAACCATCAGATTCTTTATATAATGCAACAGAGACAAAAATACAAATTTCAGAATTGTCATTTTCACTCTATTCTGTAATTTTAATTTTTTTTCCTGTTCCTTGGAGCTTCAAATTAGAGAAGTTTTACTGTATTAACTTAAGAAAATTTCTTTTTAGAAGTTTTCCTTTTGAATTGTAGTCCATTTTTTATTTTTTCTACTTAATGTTATTATTTATTGTTATCAGTATAAATAAGTCTTAATGTTATTACAATAAGCAGATTATATTGTATTTTGATTTTAAGTGTTAATGAAATATATTTTGTTTAAATAAATATTCTAAAAATATTTATTTAAACAAAATATATTTCACTAAAATTCTGTATTATTGATTAGCATTTATGTTTATAAATTGAAATAAAAATAATTAGTTCAATAAATTATATTAATAAAATTATATTTTTTAAAAATGATGATTTAAAATTTTCAGGTTAAAATAGTGTTATCACCGAACTTCTGTAATATGTTCATCAGATCATCTGTAAATCAACATAGTTCTCTTAATATTGCTGCTTCTGATATGGTTTGTAATTTATTATTTTTATTTTGGTACTTGAGTTTTGAGAAATTGAGTTTATTGTGGTTGTTTTCTGTAATTTGCTGTTTGTGCTGTTGTGAAGGATTATTTTGTCTCTGATTATGGCACAGTCATAGTATTCATTGTATATGTTTTTTTCTATGCCTACAAAAAGAAAACAATTAAAACAGAAAGAAAAGAACAATATTAACAAACATTGTAATTAGTTTATCACCAAATATAATCAAGTACAATCAAACACATTATAGGAAAAGAGAAATAATTTTCATATTGAGAACAAATTTGGCAAATTATATAATTTAAAATCTTTTAAAATAATTTTAATGAAATAAATGACAATTAAATTAAATTTAGATTTTATATATATATTTAACTGAAGATAATTTTTATTATAATTTGTCTGTAATCATAATAACATTAAGTGAATAAAATATTTTATTTTAGTGTGACTTTTTTGTTAAATATGTTTCTGAGTGTGACAAAGCTAAGCTTCAACTTGAAGTATTGATGATATTTATAAAACAGTAAGGATTGATTATTTACAGTCTATTTTTAATTTTACTTCAAATTTATATTGAAACTTACTTTAAAATTACTAATAAATATTTCAGACCTGGTACAATTGTATTTGACAAGTTGACAAAAACGAAAACAGTTTCAAACATTATACAACATGTAAGAAATAATACATTTATATAATTTTTTTATGTGAGATACCTGATTGAATTTAAAATAATTTATTTTATTTACATAGTTAAAAAGTAATGCTGTTAAATCATTTGCTGAAATATTAAAATCAATATTTGTGAACAATAACAAGTAAGTAAAATTTTAAGACACTTTATTGTTGCTAAATCTAATGATAAAGTAATAAAAAAATTAATTGATTTTGAATTAATTTATAGTGAGAATGAAGAAGTGTATAATGATCATACTAGAGGATTTGCTGTTAATCAGGTTAGTCATATCAAATGAAAACTTATTAATTTATATATATATATATATATATTTTCAATAAGCATTAAATAGAAATACTATAAATGCATATTACCATATTTTCACAGAATGACCACTTAAAAATGGGGAGATCAGCATGCCAGAAACTCCAGGGTTACTGGTATGCAGTTAAACTGTGACTAAAATATAAAATTAATCAGATCTAACAAAACTAGTTGTTAATTAAATGTTAAAGAAAACATTCTTCTGAGTACAATAAAATAATAGCAGTCTTAGATATAAAACAGAATAGTAAATCTAACAGTAGAAAAAAAATGCAAGAAGTGTCTCTTTATTACAATGGGAACTAAACTTGGCATTATAAAACTAAGTGCAATAGGTGAATAAAACTGCATTTGAAAATACCTGGTACTAAGTAGTAGCAAGCAGATAAACAAGCATAATGTATTCTATTAATATTAAGTGCATTGAAGAATCAAACACTAACAATATGCAGTTATTCTGTGTACAAATATACTTTCTAGGTTGGTTTTCAATTTATCACAAAATCTTGGGAACCTAACTTGTTTGTAAGTCAGTGAGTGCCTGTACATGAAAAGTAATTAATTACATTAAAGAGAATATGCCTAGAATTAATTATTCTATAATTTATTATATGTAAAAAGTTATCATTGTTCATAATCTAATACAGTGGGTGATCTTTTAACAAACAGTTTGGACTGCAAACAAATCAGACAACGAACACTTTTGCAAAAGATTTTTATGTTTGAACAACAAACACATGTTCAGATAATGAACACCTCATAGAACAAACACAAGAAGAAGCAACATAAAATAATGAATACTGATTGGTTTTCTCTTGTCTCCTGGTGACAATTTGAAACCTTTTGGAGTGCAGGAGACATTGACATTGATGCTTAACCCAGTACTGATCGGATAGTATTCCTCTGAACTTTGAAACTCTCCCTTATAATTCCAGCCTTTTGTTTATCTTTCTGACAGAAAGGATTTTTTATAGTCTTTGCAAGACTGTTGGGTGCGTGTTAAGTTTTACGTTTGTTTTTATTTTCAAAAGGTGAGAATTTAACTGTCCAATTGGATATCCGTTAATGTTTTAATACCAAATTTTGAATTTCACTAAGGCCTCACATTTACATAATGTTTTGTGTGCTAGTTGATTTCTGTTCTCTGAATTTTTGTAAGTGCTTTTCTAAACTTTTTATTTAAAAAAAGAAACTGATGATATTATGGAACCTAAAAAGAGGGAGTATCAAGAACTGTTCTCACTGTAGAAACAAAGAAAAGATAATTGCCAAAATAGAGATTGAGCAGATGATGGATGATGTTGCTAGACAGTATGGCTTGAACATGTCTACAGTAGGCACAGCCTTGGCTAAGACTGTGCCTACTGTAGACCTTGGCTAAGATTCAAGCAGCTAAAGGAGTAACAAAAATCACATCTGAGAAACAAAGATGTGTCATCCATGAAAAATGGAGGGATTGCTTTTAATTTGGATAAAAGAAAGGGAAATGAAAAGAGATATAACTAGCATGACATTCCTTCAAGAGAAATTTTTGAAGAACTGAAGAAACTATACACCAACCAATGCTGAATATTATCAGGCTAGAAATGGCTATAATATTAATAATTTATAAGACAATTTGGCACTATTGTGAAGGGCTATCCAGGGGCACAGAGTTTTGATAGCACTTGTATGCCACTTACTCTGCAACTAGTCTGTGAGACTAGCCTGCAGAGTTGAAGGATGGCTTCCTTAGACATTAATGAGAACAAGAGTCTGCAAAGATCCCCTGTAAGTTGCTCTTTCCTGATACCAGCCTAGATATAGCGTTAGGCATGCTAGTAACCTTTTTATAGGAATATTGAATCAGAAGGTTGCAAGTAAGTGAAGTGGACGTAGGCTTTGAATTGAGACAGTAAGGAGACCATATTATAACAAATGAATTTAATAAAATAAAAATCAAATTATAATAAACCTCAATACAAATAAATGACCTTAATCTATCCTACTACCGAGAGAGAGTTTATATACACATGAAATCATATTACCTCAAACTTAAGTAATATTCATAGTTGTAGTCTTCTATAATGTGGATCGGATAATTAATCTTCTATGCATGTAGTATACATTATGTTCCAATGTTTTCTATATGTTGTCTATATGGGATCTTCGATATCATGGGAGGTGATTCTTAATTCTATATGGAGATCGACACTTATGTGGCCAGTCCTACATCCGGGAACTGCCCAAGTTTGTATGGTAATCTTCTTTTCTCGGACTACCCCACTTGGCAGGAAAATGCCCCTATTTATAGGCTGCTCTCCAGGCAGCCTGCACTGTGTGCAAAACTGATTCATCATGCAAGTTGGCCATCTAAAGGAAGTTCAAGTTCCCTTCTTTCCTCAGAAATGAAAAATGTACATCCTTTCTTTGTTTAAAATGTTCTCCTCAACATAAAATATTTGAATATTTTATATTAATTAACAAAACGATCCTGCAGATCTCACACTAGAGTTAGGTGTTAGGTGCCATCTCTTGATAAATTTAATAATTATAATTTTAATTTAAATAATTTAGAACTACTAAATTAGAAAAGAATCAGCTTGGAGCGTGACTCAAACCCACAACTCTTGTTTACTGTGCAGATGCTTTTCCAATTATGCTACCTGGACCTCCAGTTCAATCTCCCCTTCCAGTATATATAAGCTTATGTTATAACCATCAACAGTTATTACAATGCTGGTTGGAGATGCATTTAGCACCCATGTCCTGTAAACATCTCCCAAGGCACTCACCCGGTCATTGCAAATCCTGTAACATAATGCTTATATATACTTGAAGGGGAGATCAAACTGGAGGTCCAGGTAGTGTAATTGGCAATGCATCTGCATGGTAAGCAAGAGTTGCATGTTTGAGTCCCTCTCCGGGCTGATTCTTTTCTTCCAGTAGTTCTAAATTATTTAATTAAAATTATAATTATTAAATTTATCAAGAGATGGTCCTGACGCCTAACTCTATAGTCTATTTATCCTAACTTGGCAGCTACTGTAAACAAACTAAGACACACCTCCCTTTGTTTATTGGTTTAAACCCATGTCCATCAATTAAAAATCGTATTGCATCTCATTCGTCCGCAGAAAATAGTTCTTCGTTATTTATAAAATCATTAATGAAATGCTATTCACTTAGCAATGATTATAAATGTTATTATTTCATATTTGTTAAGTTGTTATTTTAATAAATATTTGCACATTCTGAATCATTAGAAATAAACTTTTTCCGGTCATGCGCACTATAATGTTTTTGTTTCTTTTTCCATTCATTGCAATAACTACCGTTATTTCAAATTGTGTTGTTGAATTACAAAAATGGAAAACTTGAATGTAAATACGATTAAACATCGGCAAGGAAAATCGCTGAGGAGCTCGGATAAACAAATAGTATTAAATTTGTTTAATTCTTTAACTGAAACGAATCCAGAAGTCTGCGTGAAGGATTTAGTGAAAATGGTAGCACAGACAACAGGGATATCAGAACGGAGCATTTACAGAATTCGTAAAGAATATTTTACTAATGGTAAAGTAATAACTCCTTCGAAAACCCGTAAGCGTACTCAACTCGTTGACAAATATGACGAATTCACAAAATGTGCCATTAGAGGTAAAGTACACAATTTTTATTTTTTAAACGAATTACCTACTGTAGATAAGGTATTACAGGCTGTTAATGACGATCCAGATTTACCAGACTTTACTCGATCTACGATATATAATTTGTTAAAATTACTTAATTTTAAATATACGAACCGAAACAGAAATAGTAGATTAATTGAAAGAGACGATATCATTTTATGGCGAAGACAATATCTACGAAAAATAAGAGAAATGCGTTCTTTAGGCCGTAAAATTTACTATTTGGACGAAACATGGATTAATGCGGGCCATACCAAGAATAAAGTATGGAAGGATTGTTCAATTACGTCTTATCGCGAAGCTTTTATGTCTGGACGATCTACTGGATTGAAAAATCCTTCTGGAAAGGGGAAACGAATAGTTGTTGTTCATATAGGCAGCAATACAGGTTTTCTGAATGGTGGTCTGTATGAATTTGAATCAAAGTCGACAAAAGATTACCATGAAGAAATGGATAGCAATAATTTCAAAAAATGGTTTGAAAAAATATTATCAAAATTAGAAAGTAATGCTGTTGTTGTCATGGACAATGCTCCATATCACTCAGCTAAAATTGAGAAGATTCCAAATTGTAGTTGGAAAAAAGCTGACATAATTTCTTGGTTGGAAAAAAATAGGGTTCGTCATAACGACAAAATGTTGAAAATAGAACTTTTGGATATTGTTAAAAAAATAAAACATAAATACGATAAATATATTATTGACGAAATGGCCAAAGAAATAGGTATCGACGTGTTACGTTTACCTCCGTATCATTGTAATTTAAATCCTATTGAATTGATATGGGCAGATATGAAAGGTTACATCGCACGTCACAACACAACATTCAAACTGTCGGATGTGCGAATTTTAATGAATGAAGCTATCGAACAAATAAATGAAGAACGATGGAGAAAATGTATTGAACATATAGAAAAAGAAGAACAACGAATGTGGGAACTTGATGAGATTTCAGAAACTGTTGTAGAAAAACTGATTATTCAGTCTAACACAAGTAGTGACGAAAGCGATATAAATGATTACTTTGAGCAACTATGTTCTGATACAGATGATTAATAAGGTAAGTTTACACTATAATTATTTTAAAAAATTTTTATTTATATAAATATAACATAGATAAATTCATACATGTTTTCTGTAAGTCTTAATAATATATATTTAATAATAATTTTTGACAAACTATATTTAAACGATGGAAATAATTTAAACGGCTACGTAAAAATGTTAAAGTAAGCTATAATAACTTTTCTAAGTATTGTATTATCTCGGTAATTTTTAAATTGTTGTGACAACTTTGACCTACTTTAACACGTGCAGAGAAAGGGGCTTAACTGGTCAACACGTGTTGAGCCACTTCCGATTGTGATTTGACCAATGAAAATCTTCGGCGGATTAATACGACAGAATCTTTGTTTACAGTAGCTGCCAAGTTAGGATAAATAGACTATAGTGCCAAATTGTCTTATAAATTATTAATATTATAATCCATTTCTAGCCCAATAATATTTGGCATTGGTTGGTTTATAGCTTTAAAATATATCTGGCTCAGTGATGTTGAACGGAAGAAACAAATTCCACATTTGTCACACAAGGAGATAGAATTCAAGGTTACCGCTGGATGATTTGCAAAGTTTAGAAGGAGATCTGGCATTAAACATGTGGTAATCCATAATGAGTCTGCTAGTTCAGATAAAGAAGAAGCTGAGAAGTTCTGTCTCAAATTTGAAGAATTCATTAAAAAAGGATATTGTCCACAACAAATTTCCAATTGTAATGAAACTGGTTTATTACAATTGATAAAAAGGGGATTGATAAGGTTTATGTGATATGGCTACTTGACAACAAGCTTCTACGACCAACTTGTGAATAAAAAAGAAAAGATTTTGTATGACATACAATGTTATGTAAAGACTTTTATTTTCGAAGCTATTAAACATGTGATTTCATTCTATTTATCATATTTTAAAAAATCATTCCAAACAATTCTTTGCCTGAAGGACACAGGAAGGGTCTGAAAGTGTTTGTATTGACTGATAGATTGTGCTTCGCACTGGTTAAAGGTTTTATGAGCAGTGTTTTGTATAATATGGTGTGAGGTGATTCGTTATTATTAAACTGGTTTATTTTGGAAGTGCATGCCAAACCATACCTACATCATGAAACATGAGAAAAATATTCCTAGACATAGACCCATGAAAGACCGATTGACATTGCTTTTGGGAGCTAATGCTAGTGGTGATATGAAGCTTATCCTGCTTCTTTTCTATCACTCAGAACCCTAGAGCATTAAAAAAAATTCCACAATTAAAGAAAGACTGCCAGTGATATGGAGATAGAATAAAATGGGTCATGCAGGCTCTTTTCAAAGAACGAAATGGGTCATGCAGGCTCTTTTGAAAGAATGGCTGTTTGAAGTTTGTGCTCCAAGCATCAAGGATTATCTGCCATTGAAAGCACTGTTGCTACTGGACAATGCACCAAGACACCCGAAAGAGCTTGAAGATAATTTGCTGGAAGACTTTTCCTAGCTGACAGTTCAGTTTCTGTCTTTTAATACCAGTTCATTGATTCAGCCAATGAATCAGGAGGTTATTGCGGGTTTCAAGAAATTGTATATTCGTACAATGTTTTATTGGTGTTTTGAAGCATGCCAATTCTCTTCAATGATGACATTAAAAACATTTTGGAAAGAAAAATTTGATATTCTTGAAACGATCAGGCTCATTCAGAAGGCATGGTCAGAAGCCATTCAATGACAGTTGAATACTGCTTGGCAAAAGCTGTGTCCCTCCTGCATTCAGGGATATGGAGATGGTGTCCCTGAAATTATGGATGAAATTGTGACAACTAGATCTCAAATTGGAGATCTCAAATTGGAGATGAATGAAGATAACATTGAAGAGCTCGTAATGGAACCTGAAACTGTTCTGACAACAGAACTGTTGAATGAAGAACACCAAGAAACTCAGCAAGATATGTTTTCTTCTGAAAAAGAGGAAGATGAAAGAGGACCAATGTCGCATCTGTTATTAAAGTTCTTTTGAAGAAATGGAAGGATGTCAGAAAAATGATCTTAGAAGGGCACCCAAACCAACTTGAGGTTAATAGGTTTGGGGATCTCTACAACGACAATGCTATTAATTACTTCTGAAAAATCCTGAAGAAGAGAGAAAAAGCAATCAACATTGGACAGATTCTTTAATTAATGCCCCACAAATGGAAAAAAAAACAACTGATAAAAATGCAAAACTGTGTATATATTTAATTATTATTATTATATATAGATAAACATAGTAAGAAAGTATATAATTTTTTATTTATTTTTTGGGATCTCCAGAATGAATTAAATTCCCATGAAAGTCTATAGTAAATGGATAATCAGTTAATGAACAATTCAAGAAGCAAACACAGTCTTGGAACAGATTATGTTCATTAACCAATCACCAATGGTATATAAATAAAGATATTAGAGAGTTGTTATAGGTTTTTAATTATTACATTTATTAAAACTGTAAAAAGTAAATTACAAATAAAATACAAATACATCTACATTTTAATATATTTGTCATATTATATATAAATTTTTATTTTACAAATTTCTTTTATTTGATTCACTTTTAGATATCTTTATTGGTAGGACATCCAGCTTTAATATCAAATATTGATTGGAAAAAAGAGTGTGTTCAGTTTCTTCTTCTTCATTCATTTTTTAAAATCAAACAGCCATGTGATGAAGTACCTGAGGTAATTTAATTACACAAAAGAAAAAAATTAATTATTTAAATTTGTAATTCATTATTTTATATTTATTTTAGTCTTCTCAGATACCAACTGAAATATCTGACAATATAAGAGAAGTATGTCTCAAAAGTTTCATTCGTTCATTAGAATTTCTGTTCAGATCATCATCTTCAAAAAAAACAAATCTTCAGAAAAAATGTGAAATGATGTCTTCCATTCTTCATTATACTAATACAATATTAAATTTACCAGATTATTTCATTCCTCTTATAGACATTAATCAGGCAAGTCATGTTTTTATTTATTTGTACATTTTAAAAATTATAATAAATTAACAAATAATAACAATTTTCTTTAATTTTTGAAATAGATTAAAGAATATTGGGAAGATGTTATTACAATTACCAGCAAATTGCAAAAACAACAGAAGAAGGATGGCAAACTACATGAAAGTTGTGCCTTTCAAACACTTTTTGTCTATCTTGGTCTTCAATTATTTATTGATCCATCTGAAACAATAGATATATTACAAGTTAGTGATTTAATATTGTAATTTGAGTTATAATTTCATATAAAATAAGTTTATTTGCATTATGAATAATGGAATAATAGATTTATTATTTAGGTTGAACTGAAAGTTCATTTGGGTATTTACATAGTCGTTCATTTGTGTCACCTCTGTCATGCTTATCAAGTTTTAACTTGTTTAGGTGGGCATTATGAAAATTTCATATTTAATATATGTTTAGTTGCTTGCAGTTATTTTTTAAAATTCTGTTATCTTTTAAGAGGAAAAAGAAACATTAAAATGGAAGATAAGAAGGTGCATTTTTGACATCTTGTGCTCTATTATTTCTGAAAAGAGAAAAATGCAACAAAAACTCAAAAGAAGATATGTGCTGTATATGGGGAGTTACTCATCAAACATGCCAGAAATAGTTTTAAAAATTTAGGGTGGGAGATTTTTCTCTTGAAGATGCACCTTGGTCAGGATGCCCTCAACCATAGAAGATGAGTCCATAATGACTTTAATCCAAAATGATCAAACATAGAACAACACAAGAGATAGCCTACACCCTAAAAAGGTCCCAAACATTTGTTGTCAGACATTTGGCTTCCTTGAATATACTTCCCCTTATGATGTTTGGGTTCCCCATCAGTTAAGTGAATGAAACCTTATTGAGCATGTTTCTGTTTGTGACTCATTTTTAAATTGCAATGATGATGATCCATTTTTAAAGTGATTAATAACAGGCGATGAAAAAATGGATTGTTTACAATATTCAACACAAGAGTTCATGGAGTAAGCCAGGTGATCTGCCACTGCCACAACCTAAAGCTGGTTTGCATCCCAAAAAAGTAATAATTTCAATTTGGTGGGATTGGAAAGTGCTTCTTATTATGAGCTTTTCCCAAAAACCAAACAATTAATTCCAATAAATATTGTCTTTAACTGGATGAACTGAAGGCTGCAGTGCATCAAAGACATCCAGAACTTGCAAATCAATGGAAGTGGTTATTCTTAACATAACCATAAACAAAATATGCCACAATAATTATAAAGTGAAAAGTCAAGATTTCTGTATGATGCAAGACCACACACATTATTGAACATGCATCAAAAACTTCTAGACTTTAACTGGATGTTTTGAGCCAACTTGCATGTTCTCTGGATATTGTTCTATCAGACTATCATCTTTTTTGTTCATTACAGAATAATTTAAATAGCATAGAATTTCAATCTTTAGAAGGTATCAAAAATCACATTGATAATTTCTTCAATCAGAAGCCCCTAAATTCTACACAGATGGAATTATGAAACTACCAATCAGATGGCATAAGGTTATTGAACAGAAGGGTGAATACATTGTGGATTAAAGGTTTTTATTTATTCCAAAATAATATATTTTTATTTCTCTCTAAAAACTGAACAAACTTTTAGTTCAACCTATAATTAATTAACTGTGGTTGTACCCTGCAAAATATTTGCTGTAAAAAATTATTGTTTACTTACTAATAAATAGGGAAAATAAATTTATTTATATGAAACTTATAAAATTTCTCTGTATATAGCATTAATACTTTAACGAACTGAAACAGATTTTACCTTATATTCTAGATAGATATATAGATTTGATTGTGTGTCAGTTAATTCTAAAAAAGTAACATTAATACCAGTCCATATGCCCATGTCAAGTGACCTTTGTTTCTCTGAAAAGGTTTGAATGACCATATAAATATCTTCATAGTGATTTGAATGCAGAAATGAATACTTAAGTTGATGACATTTAATCAAATTTAGTTTTTATTTTTACCTTGTAAGAGTTCTGCTTCACTTAGTTTCCATCATTTCTTATCAATAAAATGGTATCAAGAACAGTTATGTTTTTGTTGTCTATTAAGGAGATGGTATCTATTGCCTCAGTTAGTTGGAGTTAACCTTATCACATAAGAACATTTCATATTGTTGAGAGCAATCTTATGCTCCCATATCTATCAGGATAGTGAGAGATGATGATTTATTTAGGATAGGGTGCAACTGATTGCATTTTCTTTAGGTATAAAAAAGGATGTACTTTTTTCCCTATGACCTTCAGAACCCCCAGTAAGACCATCCCATAATTTCTTAGAGCCATTCATACCATACCTACATCCTTGCTTTTTTAGTTAGAATATCATTATTATATAATAATATATCAAAATGAATAATTGTACATAACATCATGAAAAGGAGAAATAATCAGTAAAAGCATGATCTGTTTATTCTAATAGTCTAAAAAATTCTTAACTTCACTTTTTTCCTTTAGGCAAAGTAGTTTAAGAAAAGTAATTAGATGAGTAAAGGGAATAGGTTCAATCAAAACTACAAGTTAATAATAGTAATTTTTTTTAATAAAATATATAATTTCAGTAAAACAATTTTTATAACTACAGTAAAAGATTGATTTAATAGACCACTACTGGAGAAACTGAAGAAATTGGTTCGTTATAATGAAAATCCATTTTATTGTGATTACTTTTTATTATGGATTTGTCCATTATATTGAAAAGTTCATTACTATACAGTAGAATCACATTAAAATGGAACTCAATTATGAACCTGGAGAAAATATCTGCAGTTTGAAGATGTCTTCTCCCGGTCCAAATGCCAAATCAATGTACTTTTATCTTATTTCAACAGATTATTACTGCTAATATAAGGAGATTCTACTGTACATAGTAATATCGAATTGTCCATTATTATATATCAATATTGTGGACTAAAGTCGTTATATAGTGGGCAAAATTTCAGTTGTAAAGTATATATGTCAGATTTTTATTAAACTTATAGAAACAATGTTTCTATCTATCAGTACTGGTATATGTAAGATATAAATCTATAGCTTTTCATTTTTTTTATGATCCTTAACTTGCTTTATGCAAGTCCAAAACTTGTTGCTCATAGAGAAAACAAAACAAAAAAACTAGATGTAATGTAAAAATGTAAGTCAAAAAAATTATTAAAAATGAATTTTATTTTATTTTTTATTTTTAAATAAGCAAATAAATTGATGATTGCATCAAAATAAAACAGTGACTAAAAAGTTCATAATAATTGAAGGAAAGTGGTGTGTGGGACTTGAAAAATAGTCTGTTGTGGCAAGTTCTTATAATTTTCCTATAATTTGGCTGGACTGACATTGGCTGTCTGTAATAATGCATAATTTGCTATATAGGGGTTTATAATATTGAGGTTTTACTATATATTATAACGTTGACTACTTGCTACTTCATCTGGCTATTGTGTAGCATGATGCAAATTATCAATATTTTTACTTATAAGCTATATATAGGTATGTAAATATTTTTATAATTTAATGGATTTTTATGTATTAAATTGGGTTATTGATAGTTATGAATGCTAAGAAAGATATATTTGATTTTTCTAGCTTATTCCTGCATATTCTTAATATTTTTAACTATTATCAAATGAATTAGATATGGTATATAAACACAAATATATTGTATGGTCTTATTTTATACAGAGGTTGATAGCAGATACTATGTAAAACAAAATTTTGTGCTTACATCATAAGTAGTTCCAGTTGATTGCCTAAATACCATTTATCATTATGCAAATCGTTTACAATTAACAGAAAAGCTATTTTATTTATGTTATTATTATAATTAATAATAATTTAGTTCATTGTTTCTAAATATACCGAGTAAAATTTCATTGTATTGTAATGAGTACATTACTTGAAAAAAAAATGACAATGGAATAAACTACCAAGGTATTCATCACAGTGAATAGCATTCAGTAGCTTTTCCATATTTAGAGTTGTCAGAATTAGGAGAAGCTTGATTTTCTGATTTAAGATTCAGTGACATTAAGAATAAGTTAACTGAACTATTGGTCAATCTGCAAAAGACAAATTTCTGTATATCAATCCCATGTAAAATGAGATCCTACTGTATTTATATAAATAACAGTAATAATTATATGTCAATTTTTATTTTAAAGGAGTTGAAAGAATGCTGTAATCATGCCTTAATGTACAGAAGAAAAGCAAACAAATTAGATTCAACTAAAGATGAATCAAATAATGAGCCAAGTTGGATAGAAGTAATAATTGAATTGATGCTATCACTTTTGTCTCAGTCTTCACATTTGACAAGAAGTATTGTGATGGCTGTATTTCCTCTTTTCTGTCCATTCATCACTGAAAATGCACTAAAACAAATTTTGAATGTAAGTTTATATTAAATTTAAGTCAGAATAATAATAATAATAATAATAATAA